AGCAACAGTTGGTGTCAAGCTAGGTAAAGGAAGATGGAGGGTGGAGGCATGTCGGACCCTTGCCTCGTGGCACAGGGGAAGCACAGCAGTCAAACATGGCCTCTGCAGTTTTCCCAGCAACCAAACAACCATAGAGCAATGAGATGAGGGAAACAGACACTTAATTCCAGTAATAGTAATAATGCTGCCTAATACAAATTCACTTTGATATTAAAAACGTATTTTGTAAAACACGAACAACAAAAACAAAATAACCTCACACGACAACAAAGAAAACACCACTGCCATGAAATGGAATCTGACCTACAGTTACTCTAAAGGACAGAGTAGAATTGCTCTTCCGGGTTTTCAAGATATTAAACAACAATTCTTCATATAATCCAGCTTCCAGGACTATTTGCTCAGCACACAGATTGAATAAGTATGGTGAGAGGCTACAGATCTGATGTACACGTTTCTGGCCCTTGTTCTATGTCCAGGTTCTGCATGAGCACAATTAGGTGTTCTGGAATTCCCATTCTTCACAATGTTATTCTTAGCTTGCTGTAATCCAAATGCTTTACTGTATAGTCAATAGAACACATGTAAACTTTTTTTATTTTATCTGCTTTCAACCAAGATCCATCTGATCTTAGTAACGATATGCCTAATTCCACATCCTCTTTTGAATCCAGTTAAGATTTCTGGCAGCTCCCTGTCAGTGTACTGCTAATTCTGTGTACTGATAATTCTGTTTCTGAATTATCTTCAGCAAAATTATAAAATACAAGATCTTCTGCTAAATTAAGTTATAAAACCAGGATAGCCATTTTATGTGTGAAATATAAGTGTTCAATGCAAGTTGTGTATCTTTTCGCTTGAAAATTTGAATACATGTAGTCACAATAAAAAATATTTTTATATTATTTATTAAAATATTACATTATTAAAGCTCATACCTTTTGGAATTATATTTGAAACTAAACACAACTCTACTCTCAATTTTCTAAAGCACTCATCCACTTTTCATGCAAAAGGGCATTAAAAATACCTGTAAAGAGTATTAAAGCCCTACATAGGCCAAAGCAGTTATCACTCATACTAAGTTACATATATCTGGGGTTATATTAACAAAACATTTTCAAAACATAATTTTATCTAATTCCTTCCTTTTACAGAGAAGGTCCTAAAGTTTGGGTGGCTTGGCCAAGGATTGAGACACAGATGGAACAAGAAAACCAATCATGGCCTTTTAGTCCACTGTGTACCTCTTTTATTATTAACTACCACACAGATGTACTGTCTATCTTGCAGACCTGCTTTACAAGTTGAAAATACTATGAGGACAATCTTTTCCATATAGTATCTAAGCCTGACAAATGTGTAAAAAGTGGACATTCAACAAATGGTAGCTGCACTATGGTGAAACTTTCTTTTATACCACACTAACCCTCGAGTAAGAACAAGTTCACATTTCATGAATGACAATGTTGAGCAATTACAGATAGAAGTAAAACCAATACTAACAGAATAGCCAGGCAAATCAGGAGATATAAAACAAAGAAACTACATATGCAAAAATGTGTAGATATGTGGCACAGAACACAGCACACACATGAAAAATACTAATAAACAAAGAAACAACGTAATTCCTTAAGTATTTAAGGGTATAGGGCTCAATAAGTTAAAAAAAATCCGTTTAGGATGAGGTTAATCTGAAAATTTTTGAGATCCTGATATTTGGATTAAATTTTTAAAGGAAAAGAACCACAAATAAGAGAAAATATGAAAATTGAAATAATAGCCCAGTAGGGGCACAGACTCGCATACGTTTCCAATTAGCTAGAGAGAAAAAGAGAACACTTGGTGAAGATTACAAAGAAATAAGACCACGAAGTTGGAGAGGGGACAGACACAGCTTGAGGTCGTAATCACCAAGGACGGCAAGGTGAAAGTAGACGAGTACTCACTGCCATGGACTTGATTCTGACGCATAGTGACCCCAGGTCTAGAACAGGCCTGTGAGGTAGGTTTTGAGATTATAACTGTTTATGAGAGTAGAAAACCCCACCTTTCTCTTGAAGAGCTGCTGATAGTTTCAAACTGCTGACCTTTCAGACACAAGTCCAGGGCTCCTCAATGGGAGTACTAGGTGTCAGCAAAGTAGATTATGCTCTCAATAATCCTACCACCTCAATCTGAGTACATCAAATCCCATCTGGCCCTTCCATATCTGAATATTAAGTGACACAATTACGTAATACCTAGAATTACTCTCAAAGCTATAACGTTCTAGCTTCTACTCAAAATAGCACAAATGCCTATCGCCAAGGAGGTACAGGAAATGGTGAAACTGAGCCAGGTTCAAGAACTGCAGTTTGTCGATCTTACTGCATTACAGCCATCTTCTCTCCTGTGAAATAACAAGAGGAAACGAAAGGGACTTATGAAGAGTTTTTGTCGCTATGGCACAGCTTCAGCCAGTAATCACATGCAGAAAGGAAACTCAGAGATGCCACATCAGCCAAAGTAGTCAAGATAAAGAAATTAAACACATTATGCATAACTTCCAATTCTAAACACAGGCTCAGAAGGTTTTAAAACAAAGACACAAGCAAATAAAAGGTTTCCAGAGCATGATTTTTAGTATCTATCACAAGATTCTAAACAGGAGATTGGCAAAGTGAAAATCTTTTCAGACTACCATATATACTCGAGTATAAGCCAACCCGAATATCAGCCAAGGCACCTAGTTTTACCACAAAAACTGCATTAAAAATGTGCTGGAAAACTCAGCTTACACACGAGTATATGCAGTGTATTGGCAAAAGGATAAATTAAAATAACAAAGATAGGAAAATCTACTAGGATGCCTTTGAGAAAAGGGTAGCTAGGGAAAAAAAGACTGGCAGAATTTGCTGACACACCAAACATGAAAAAAGCTGACTAATGATATCTGAAAATAAGTGACAGAGTGATTTTCTTCTGTATATTAATACTTAAAAAGGCTTAAAAGTTAATTATTAATCTACAAAAGAAATTCTCTCATATCTGAAGTTGTCCCTTACATATGATACTGTAAAAAAGGACCAAGTCCACTCACCAAAGCCTTCCAAAAGGCAGGTGAGGGTCACTCAGGTTTACAAAATAGACATGATCTACTTCATAATCCTAACTACTATACAAAGAGCAGCACTGTTCTAACATAGTGCACTGTACAATTCACACACATTGTAATAAGGTCTACTCAACTGTACCCAGAAGTTCAGAACCAGCGTGGCAAATTGCTTGCTGTAAGAAATTGAGTGTTCCAACCGCTGAAGACAAAGGGGGTGAATAAGCAAAAGTGGTGAAGAAAGCTGATGGTGCCCAGCTATCAAAGGATATAGTGTCTGGGGTCTTAAAAGCTTGAAGGTAAACAAGCGGCCATCTAGCTCAGAAGCAACAAAGCCCACATGGAAGAACACATCAGCCTGTGTGATCACGAGGTGCCGAAGGGATCAGTTATCTGGCGTCAAAGAACAAAAAATCATATCATTGTGTGCTCACCTCCATGATATGATCACTGAAGACAAATGGGTGCATAAGCAAATGGGGTGAAGAAAGCTGATGGTGCCCCGCTATCAAAAGGTATAGTGTCTGGGGTCTTAAAGGCTTGAAAGTAAACAAGCAGCCATCTAGCTCAGAAGCAACAAAGCCCACATGGAAGAAGCACACCAGCCTGTGGGATCACGAGGTGTCGAAGGGATCAGGTAGGTATAAGGCATCATCAGAACAAAAAATCTTACCATAGTGAATGATGGGGGGAGTGTGGAGTGGAGACCCAAAGCCCATTTGTAGGCCACTGGAGATCCCCTTGCAGAGGGGTCTCGGGGAGGAGACGAGCCAGACAGGGTGCGATGTAGCAACGATGAAAAATACAACTTTCCTCTAGTTCCTAAATGCTTCCTCCCCCACCCACACCCCACTATCATGATCCGAATTCTACCTTGCAAGTCTGGCTAGACCAGAGGATGTACACATGTACACTGGTACAGATAGGAACTGGAAACACAGGGAATCCAGGGCGGATGATCCCTTCAGGACCAGTGGAGTGAGTGGCGATACTGGGAGGGTAGAGGGAGAGTGGGTTGGAAAGAGGGAACAATTACAAGGATTTATATGTGACCTCCTCCCTGGGGGACGGACAACAGAAAAGTGTGTGAAGGGAGACGTCGGACAGGGTAAGATATGACAAAATAATAATTTATAAATTATCAAGGGCTCATGAGGGAGGGGGAGCGGGGAGGGATGGAGAAAAAAGGAGGACCTGATGCCGGGGGCTTAAGTGGAGAGCAAATGTTTTGAGAACGACAAGGTCAATGAATGTACAAATGTGCTTTACACAATTGATGTATGTATGGATTGTGATGAGTCGTATGAGCCCCTAATAAAATTAAAAAAAAAAAATTAAGTGTTCATAAAATGTTTTGAGGTAATCTGACCTAAATAATTTATATCTGTTGACTGTAATAATACCAATAATAAATTGAGCCTTGGATATTCCTTTCATTTCATTTTTCTTGTAATTTATTTTTATTGTATTTTACAAAATACTGGTCTGCAAAATTTTCATTGGCACTAAATAGTTTCATTAGGCATCACAGTCACTACTCTGGAAAGTACTGCTGCAAGTAATATGTATTTCAAAATTTTCATATCCTACAAAAAAGACCTGAAAACATTAAGAAAAAATTATTTTGCAGTGTAATTAGGAAGTTTGGGGGTTGTTGTTGTTTTACTCTGTTTTTTGGTCTCATATGGGATAAAATCATCTACTTAGAAAAACTTAAAATCTTTCATGTCTGGACATATTGAATGATAAATAACAACTCCAGATTGTACAAGCTCTTTGCACTAACAGAGACTAATTATGCCAAATAAAAACTAAAATCAAAGTATTAAATTACAAATATGTGTTTGCAAAATAAGTCATTATATCAATCTTCAGTTATTTTTTTAAATAAACAAAGTTAACTTACCCATCGCTACATAGGACTTAAATCGGGTTGATAATCTGTCCACAAAGGCACTTAAAAGCTCCAATCCCAGTAATGACACCTACAGGCACAAAGACGTTTTAATGAATACTGGTCTTATGACCTTTAAAAATAGTCACATAATATACGAAGTTAAAAAAATAATAAAATAAGTAGTTAAAGGTAAACTATTCAGGCCTTCTTATTTTTAAAACAGTTTGATAATTACAGCAATAACTCATAAATACAAATTTTCAGTTACTTCTGTGGCTATTAACATTGCATATCAGGGGATACAAATTAATACTACCACATACACAGTAGAATGCTAAAATTACAAAGGCTGACAATACCAATGTTGACAATAAACTAGAATTCTTCCCTTCCCTTCTAAGAGGGTGTATACACTGCTACAATCACGTGATTAAAAAATCATTGAACGTCTCTTTAAAAATATAGCTGAAAATAATCAAGCAGCCATCTAGCTAAGAAGCAACAAATCCCACATGGAAGAGGCACACCCGCCTGTGTGATCATGAGGTGCCGATGGGATCAGGTATTAGAAATCAAAGACCCAAGACAAAAAATCATATCAATGTGAATGAGGGGGAGTGCGGAGTGGAGACCCAAAGCCCACTGTAGGCAATTGGATATCCCCCTACAGAAGTGTCACAAGGAAGAGAAGAGCCAGTCAGGGTTCAGTATAGCACCAATGAAACATACAACTTTCCTCTAGTTCTTTAATGATTTCTCCCCCAACTATCATGACCTCAATTCTACCTTAGAAATCCAGCTAGACCAGAGCATGTACATGAGCTGGAAATATGAGCTGGAAACACATGGAATCCAGGACACATAAACCCCTCAGGACCAATAATGATAGTAGTGATACCAGGAAGATAAGGGGAAGATGGGGGGAAAGGGTGGGAACCGATCACAATGATCTACATATAACCCCCTCCCAGGAGGACTGATGACAGAAAAGTGGGTGAAGGGATACAGCAGTTCGTGTAAGACATAAAATATATATATATTATAAATTATCGAGGGTTCATGAGGGAGGGAAGAAGGGTGAGGGGGGAAATGAGCTGATACCAAGGGTTCAAGTAGAAAGAAAATGCTTTGAAAATGATGGTTAAAAAAAAAAAAAGATAGTAACATGTACAAATGTGCTGGTCATAATGTATGTATGTATGTATGTATGTACGAGCCCCCAATAAAATGATTTATTTATATATATATATATATATATATCCAAAAATAAATATAGGAAAATCCAAATGTGCACTGACAGAAAATGGATAATTGATATATTTATATAATGGAACACTACACAGCAGTAAGAAAGAGCTGCTGTAGGACTGTAACATTAGCTAAATCTCAAAGACATAATATTTAAGGATAGAGCTACAAAAATGCTCCACAAAATACTAGCAAAGCAACAACAAAAAATGTAAAATTAACAATATATCATGTACAAGTGGTGTTTATCCCAGGAATGCAAAGTTAGTTTAACATTAAAAAAATAATTTCATGTAACCCATCAATAGAATAACAAAAAACACATGAACATTATCAATAGATGGAGGAAAATATTTGACAAAAATTCCACACCTTTTATGTCAAAAACACTCAACATAAGTAGGAAAGAAGAAAACTTGCTTGATTTAATAAAGGACACTGATCAAAACCTCATGGCTAACATCATACTTACTGGTCAAAGACTGGATGCATTACATCTAAAATCAGGAACAAGAAAGATAAGGATATTTGATCTCGTTACTTCTACTCAACACTATACTGAAGGTTTAGCCAAGCTAATTAGGGGTGGAAAAGAATTAAAAGGCATCCATATGGAAAGGAAGAAGTAAAACTATCTCTATGAGGAGGTTTCAAAAAGTTCATGAAAATTTAAATTAATATAATGAAGCCTTTCTATGAAGTTTCTGAAGCCCCCTCCTATTTGTATGACAGGAAATTACTATCCATAGAAAATCCTGAGGAATTCACTAAAATACAATAAAAGCCAAATCAGTTCTGTAAGATGGCAGGACAGAAAAGTAATATACAAAAATCTATTTTATTTTTAAATACTCAGTGTAACAGTCCAAAATTAAAAATAAAAATTTTAGCAATACTTTTAACAACAGTGCAAAATTTATAGTCTGAATGCTACAAAAAGTGTTGAAAGAATTAAACAAGACCTATATAAACGGGGAGATACCCCATGTTAATGGGTCAGAGGGTAGTATTGCTAGGGTGATAGTCCTTCCTCACATTCATTCACAGATTAAAGACTCTATCAGAATCTAGCTGGTTCTTTTAGAAATGGACAAGTTAATGTTAAAAGTCAGAGGGAATTGCAAGAGACACAGAAGAGACTAAATAATCTTCAAAAAGAACAGAACAGTTGTAGTAGGACCCACATTGCCTAGTTTCAAACATAACAGTAATCCAAACAATATAAAGCTGGCATAAGGATAAATTTCACTGTCGTGTTGTTAGTGGCCAATGGGTCCACAAAAACGGGTCACTGCACCTTCCATACAACAAGAGGAAACAATGCCTGGTCATGATCACTGGCATGTTTGAGCCTCGGTTGTATTTAGGGTTCCCTCGTTTTCAGGGATCCTCTACTTTACCAAACGAGACCCTTTCTCGTGATTGGTCTTTTCCAGATGACATGGCCATGCTCCATCACGATTGATTCTAAGTAACATTATGGGTTCTCCCAAATTGATCTATTAGATATTCTGGAAGTCCACAGGATAGTCATTATTTTTACCAACCTTATAATTTAAATACATCAATTTTTCTATCTTTCTTCTTCGTTGTCCAGCTTTCTAATGCATGAGGTGATCAATAAATAATAGCTTGTATGAGACACACCCTAGTCATCAAGGTGACATCTTTGCTTTAGAAAACTTTAAAGAGGGCTTTTATAGCAGATTTCCCCAACTAATCCATTGTTTTATTTCATGATTGTTGAGCACTAATTAGTGATCAAAGTAAAATGAAATTACTGACAACTTCAGTTCCTCCAATTCATCATGTTTGTAATATATGGGTCCCTAATGCCGCGATGGGCTAAGTACTATACTGTTCACCACAGGCCAGTGCTTCAAACCCACTAATCCTTTCAAGGGAGAAAGATGAGGCTGTAAGCTCCCATATTTACAAAACCTCAGAAACCGACTAAGAGTCAGAGTCAATTCTGACTCATAGTCGTGGGCTTCTTTGTTGTTTTCGGTTGTTTGATAGATATATTAATGCGGAACTGAAAATGCAGAGATAAGTTCACTGATTTGTCTATGGTCAACTGCCAATAAGATGCCAATACCATTGTTCAATAGGAAAAGAATGACCACTTTAGAAGACAGCGCTGGGACAACTGGAAATCAATGCAAATGCAGAAAAACAAAGTTGGAGCCCTTAGCTCACATTATATACAAAAATTAACTCAGCACCTCAACAAAATTTCAGAATGTGTCAAAGATCTAAACTGAAGAGCTAAAATTATAAAACTCTTAGAAGAAATCATAGCATAAATCTTCATGGTTACACTGTCTTAGAAATGATACCACAAGCCTAAGCAATAAAAGAAAAACATTCTTTTGACTCCATCAACACATAAAACCTTTTGTGCTTCATAAGGCACTACCATAAAAGTGAAAAGGCAGTCCACAGACGGAAGAAAATAATTGCAGGTAATATATCTGTTAAGGGACTGGTACCTAGAAAATATGAAACATTTACACTAGTGATAAAGACAGCACAACTGAAGCTGGGCAAAGGATCTGACCAGGCGCTTCTTCAAAGGCCAATAGGCACAGGGAAAGATGCTCACCATCACTGAACATCTGGGAAAGCGTATCAACCCCCTAACTGGATGCCGGTTACACTCACGAGGGGGGCTAGATTTAAGAAGATAGTAATAACTCTTGACAAATTGGTGGAGCTTTCAGAGCCTCCTACACCACTGGCAGAAACATAAAATGATACAATCATTTAGAGAAACAGTACAGTCTTGGCAGTTCTTCAGTCAAAAGCTGTATGCCACTGAGTGAACGCTGACTCATGGGGATCCACAGGATCAACACAGTTCTTTCAAGTCTGTCTACTCAGTGTCATCTGACGTCCATGACCATCCCAAACATCTATCCCTCTTCTCTCACAACACTGCTTGTTTACAAACCCTGGTTACCTGAAATTATCTCACAAACAGGTATTCCTGTTTGTCTGACAGGATCTCTATGACAGCAAGGATCTCACACTCCCATCTTTGTCACAAAGTAAGTTGGTCTTCAATACCAACCAGTTAAATTACTGATTGGTCTTTAGTACCAGTTAAAAGTACTGGTGGGTCTTCAATACCAGCTAGTTAAATTTCTAACACCCCTCCCCCAACACGCCCTATTCTCTTCACTGCTTTGTCTCCAAAGCACTTACCACCAAATTAAAAACTTTACTTATTTAACTCATTTCTATCCTCAACTAGAATTCAAGTCCACATGGTCAAGGATTTTTCCTTTTATTCACTATTACATCTGTAGGCACTACGTGCCTGAACATTTGAAGAAAAAACAAACAAAAATTTAACTGCCATTGGATCAATTTTGACTCATTGGGGGCCTTATGGGACAGAGTAAAACTGCCCCTTTGAGTTGTGGGATTCTGAGGCTTTAAATCTTTACAAAAGTAGACAGCCTCATCTTTCTTTCGCAGAGCTTGCAGTTAGTTATCAGCTCAGTGCACAGCCCACTACCCACGTGTTAGGCCCTGAATGGCGAACCGCATTCACAAATGAATCCTCCGCATCTAAAACAATGTCCAGCATATAAAAGACACTCTATTTGTTAACTCAGTGGATGTTAAATACCCTAAGTTAAGACACACAAATTCTGAAATATTTTGAAGGACAAAAAATATATATTATAGTTTAATAAGCATGATTTAAAATGCAAGTACCATTCTTTTAGCTTTTGTTCAAATTTTTCTATAATACACTTTTAGAAAGTTAAATAAACTTTACCATATATTGAGGGGAAAAATTGAGTTACCCTGGTTGGGTAACTAA